AACCTCAAGAGACACAAAACAAGTGTGCTACTTCGACTACATGGCCCGGGCTCCAAAAAGGCACGAAGCAGTTTCTTCACCGACGGCAAGCCTGAGCTGAAGCTTGTGGACATCCAGGAGGCAATCCCGGTTGTGGACTGTTATAAGCATCTGGGAGGCATGCTCGACATGGGCGCGTCCTTTGCTGCGGAGAGCCGCTACAGGCTCTCTCTCGCGGCGGGTGCTTTTGAATCCGCCAAGAAGCTGCTGCTGCAGAACCCAAATATACCAATTGAGACCAGAGGGAAGCTATTCGAGGCAACGGTGAGCCCCACGCTTTTCAACTTGGCCCTTTGGCAACCGGAGGGCAAACAGTGGCAGCACCTGGCGGATGGCTACTCGAGGCAGGTGAGACGGCTCCTGGGGCGGGAGATTAAAGGAAAGAGCATTTTCCACTTACCCACGCCGGTGGGGCATGTGATTACAAAATGCCGCCCCCTTGAGATCCTCGCATTCAGGGCAAGAGTCAGCCTGCTATTGTCCCTCGTCAAAGCAGCCCCGCCGACATTGTGGGGCATGCTGCAGGAGGAGGGACAGTGGATTCTTCAAGCACGCCGGGACCTGGAAAAGCTCGTTGGCAAGGACGAGGACAAATGGCCCGCAGTCTCCTCTGCCACATGGCCAGAATGGTGGCACCTCCTTAAGGAGTCGCCTATGAAAGTCAAGAGGGCGGTTGCCCGCCGGATGAACAGCGACTTCGAGGCCTACCAGAAGAAGGAGATCGGCAACATTTGCCTTTGGGCCCTCCAGCGAGACCTACAACAACGGCAAGGTACACAGGACAGTACGCCAAGGTGGAGCTGCAGAATGTGTGACAAGCCGTTCGGAACAAGAGCGGCTTTGGGCGTGCACTTCTTTGCGGTCCATAAGCGCACTGCTCTATACAGAAAGTTTGTTGAAGGAACAAAGTGTAGAGCATGCCAGGTGGAGTTCTGGTCGACGGCCCGACTGGAAGACCATCTTCGAGCATCCAAGCGGTGTGTGGACAGCATGACCGCCCAAGGAGTGCAGACTGGGGAAGTCAAGCCAGGCTACGGCAGCAGGCACAGACGTAAAGAAAGTAAGGAACACTACACCCCAGCCCCCCCGAAGGGGCTCGGGAGTTACGTGGGCGTGGCTGCAGCAGCTGACTGGAATGAATGGGAGAGGACCCTCTACAAGGACTTGTCTGAGGACCTCCTGACCGACGACTTCCCCGACGCCAAGGACTACGCCACCTCACGCATAGCCAAGGTCATCAACCAGTACCCGCTGTACCCGGAGGAGATCGACAAGGTTGTCCAAACACTTGTTGAGGAGACCCAACAAGTGCAACAGACGGTCCGACAGTGGAGTGACGGACAGTACGAAGCTGTTGGGCACGGACTACTACATGTTCGACGCCCTCCACCTGAAGGGAATGTGCAGAACATCGATAACAAGATCTCCACCTACCAGGAGTTCAAGGAGCAGATCGACACCTTCTCATGGCAGCGAGCCATTGATGGAGGTGATGATGACTACGGGACCCCGGAGAAAGTCTTTAAACTGGATGTGAACTGGGAAGCTGCATGGTTCAGTCGCAGTAAGACTTTATCTGCTGCAGCCGTGGCAGAAGATCTGCACACGCTCCTTCCTCCGTGCCTTTTAGACGCATGGAGACAGTACCTTGGAGGCGCAAAGGTCCGTGTAAGTGCTCCGGATTCGTTCTGGGCACATGACTTGGCACGGCCGTTCGTGCGTTTCAAGGCTTTGTGCAAGCATTAATTAAGCAGCGCAGACCACTGACAGCAAGGAAAAAATGTATGTATGTATGTATGTATATACACAGAAGAGGAGGCTGTGGGGCCTGCGTTTTTGCGACCCACTATGCTATATATACATATCTATATAGATATATATACACACACACACACATACACATGCATATCCATACTGCTCGCAAGCATCCCAAGGTCTCTAGGTTGCCTGAACGCGACAAGCCAAGCCAAACCGTACCAAGCCACGCCATTTCGACATCAGTTTTTCAAAAAACTGTTGTCCAACACAGAACCCGGTCCTAAAGAATACCTCCTTTGTCAGACCGAAACCCTTCTCACAGCCGGGGTGGAGGGTCTTTTTTTGAAAAGGTTTGGCGGGACATGGTTTGGGTGCGCCTGTGAGTCAAGCTATTGGGGATTCTAGTCTTCAGGGTTGGTTTGTGCGTCAAGCTTTTGGGGGAATCTACTTTTCAGGGTTTGTTTGTTCCTCAAGCTATTGGGGGATTCTAGTTTCAGGGTCAAGCTATTGGGGCAGTCTAAATTTCAGGGTTTGTATTTGGGGGATTCTAGTTTTAAGGTTCGCCTGTGCGTGAAGCCATTGTGGGACGCTACTTTTACGGGTTTGCCTGTGCTTCAAGCTATCGGGACTTTTGTTGCCGCTGGTGCCGGTGCTTGTCGTGCTGCTGCTGGTGGTGCTGCTTGTCGTGCGGCCGCCGCTGCTGCTGCTGCTGCTGCTGCTGCTGGTATCTTAAGCCGCCCCCCCCTCATTTGGCGATTTCGGATCATCATATATCTTAACCACGCCCCCTAATTTGGCGATTCCGTTTCATCATATATCTTAGTCGCCCCCCCCATTTGCAAACACAGGCGAATCCGGATCATCATAGATCTTAGTCCCCTCACTTTTCGATTCTGGAACATCATACATCTTAACACGCCCCTTAATTTGGCGACTCCGGCTTCATCAAATATCCTAAACACCCCCCCTCATTTGGCGATTCCGGTTCAACGTACATCCTAAGTGTTTTTGTCATTTGGCGATTCCAGATCAACTCCGGTTCAAGGTACATCCTAAGTGTTTTCCGTCATTTGGCGAATCCGGATCATCACGGATCTTAGTCCCCTCATTTGGCGATTCTGGAACATCATACATCTTAAACATGCCCCCTCATTTGGCGACTCCGGTTTCATCATATATCCTAAAACACGCCCCCTCATTTGGCGATTCCGGTTCAACGTACATCTTCAGTGTTTTCCGTCATTTGGCGATTCCGGATCAACTCCGGTTCAACGTACATCCTAAGTGTTTTCCGTCATTTGGCGATACCGGGTCATCATATTTCTGATTCCGTATCATCATATATCTTAAACTGCCCGCGCATTTGGCGATTCCGGCTCAAAATATATCTTTAAACACGCCCCCTCATTTGGCGATCCCGGTTCAACATACGTCCTAATCACGCCCCATCAATGTGGCGGTTCCAGTTCATCATCTATCTTAGTCTTAAGTTGCCCTCTCATTTGGCGATTCCGGTTCATCATACATCCTAAGCACACACACACACACCCTCTTTTGGCGAAAACCAATGAAATTTAGAACACGACAAACAACACGAACAACTAACACACAGCCCATAGAAACCTTGCAGTTCCGATTCATGACAAACCAGAGGACCAGGGGAGCGCAGGACCCGGAGACCACGGGACCGGGGAAGCACGGCACCAGGGGACCGGAGGACCGCAGGACCAGGAGACGAAGGGACCAGAGGACCACGTTCTCTCGCCAAACCTTTTCAAGGACAGCCTCTCGAAAACCCTTATCAAAAAAAACCTGGCCCCACAGCCGGGTCAAAGGGAAAGGTGTGCCAAAGGCAAACCTGAATCCCACGCAAAGACACTAGCCCAAACTGCAGCCAAGGCAGCAGGAAGGTGTCCCCCTCCGCGATGAAACGGCCCAACTTGGTCCGACCCGCGCGGGTCGCGAGCTTTCTCAACAGCTTGTAGGCATTGCCTCGGTTCATGTAGGCCTTCCAAGACTTGAGGGGTGAATTCCCAGAGAAGGAGTGCGGGACACAGGACCTACGGCGCCTGACGGCCAAGGCTTGTCCTGTAGGAACCTGTAGATGTGATCAGTGATATGTGCGCGCTGACCCATTTTACCTAGTGCCTGTCACTTCTAGTCCTGTATCTCCTGGCATGAACGGAGGGGGTTTGCTGGTTTCCCATGCTCCGGATGCTCGTGATGTGGACTTGACTTACCTCGTCTGGACGAGTCCTCGTTAATCACAAGCAAGATCATAACTGCACAGTAGTTGGCTTTGGGTTAGCTTGACGCGTAGTGCTCAACAGGGTAGTCTCAATGTCTCAAGATGGAACACGTGGCTAATCGTGAAGCCTCAACACCTAAAGCCTGCACCCGAAACCCTCAACCGTGACAACGCGTACTGGAACAGAGTTCAAGCTGAACTTTACACACCCGATCTAGAAGATCTTTGCAGTAAGAAAGCCGGGCAGCTGCGCTTTGACTGAATCTCAGCGGCTTTCGGCAAAACCGCGCGCAGCTGCGCCCGGCCGGTGCGTGGCCGCGTGGCCACGACCCGCAAAGGGCAAAGACCCAGGGCACTGAGACCTCTGCGAGGCTTCGAGTCGAATTTTTACTCTGAGGATTTAGGAGTGGGTTGAGGAGTCGAGGGCTTGAGCGAAACGGACAAGCGAACGTGTTTAGGAGGTGTCCGGCCATGTACAGCACATTGACATCAAGGTTTATAGGGTCTACACCGTAGAAAGTAATGCCAGTCAGTGAGTTGAAGGGCACAGCCGATGCACGACGCGACACGTTCGCTTTGGCACAGTGGCCTCAGCATTCGGTATGTGGTTGACGAACGTGACCCCTATATGGTTTCTGCTTTGCAATCCTCAAAAACCCACGACAGTTCTTGGGGCCGAATATGAGACTTCTACGGCTAAGCGACCGAAGCTCTGGGTGCGAAGTTAAGAATCCCGAGGCATGTCTCGAACAAGATCCAGATCTACACCCGAAAGCCCCTCAGCCTTGTGCCTACGAGCTCCGACTCCCGTCGAAAGACGTGACACGTATGACATCAATCATGATGAATGTTGCATCATGGCCATGAACAAGACAGACAAGGAGGCAAGGGGGACTAGTAGGGAGCAAGCGACGACACACATTGACTGTTAACTGTGAGCAGCCGGTGACTGGTCAAGGCCAAAGGTGCTTGTGGTGTCGGCAAGGAGCAGTGTGACTGCTGTTCCAGCGAGTGCAACCCGATAGCGAACCGAAACCATACTCTGCCAGGAATGGCGGAGTTCAAGCTTCAGGTTTTGCTGGTCAAGAGGCTTCGGTTTAGGTGTTAGGGGCTAGGCTAGATAGGGTCTCGAGGTTGCGGGGCTCTGGTGCACTGTAGAAGATGGGCTCCCCCGTACACGTGCAATCCTCAAACCCGCGGTCTTAGACCACAAGCTCGTGTAGTCCCAGCTTTTCGAGCCGCAACGGAGTGTGGACTTGAAGACTCTGAGAGGATACCGGGTCCGAAACAAGAAAGTACAAGAAGAGGAGCGTTCATGCTGCCGGTGCTAGCAGGAAGCCTTTTCGAATGTACGCAGTGCAAGGATGAGAACGGCGCCAGTACATGTAACGCTGAACTTGGACAGGAACATGTGTACCGATCCACAAGGTTCCCGCACAAAAGAACAATCCTCATCATGGCCACTCCTACCGTCAACACCACTAGCCATCACCGATGCCGTGGGCTCTTGATACATTGATTTGCGGTTTAGTATACAGGGCTTCGGGACTGGGCCTTCTGGTTTGGGGTGCGTGGCGCCCTGTTATCCCGATTGCAATCTCAACAGCATGCGCAGCTTTTTCTTGACCTTAGGTCTGGTACAGTGGCTGCACAGACTCTGCCAGTTTGCAGACGGCAGATGCAGGCAGAGTGCATGTCGAATCTGAGACACAAGACGGTTGTAGTAGTGCTGGTGAAATACCTTAGCTCGTTGAGCACCTCATCAAGACCATAATCGTTACACAAACAGGATCCCGGGTTACCTGCATGCTAAACAGCCTGCCATTGGGCTGCTACAGCGTTGGTTTACATGTCGGTCATACTACGATAACGATAGGTTCCCTAGAGTGCCGGTTGGTGCAATGTGCTTGAAGTCGGGATACAAACCTCGAAACTTGAAACAGAAAGAAGTGTCGCTGAACGCTGACCCTTGCATCGTAATCCGTGATCTGCTATCTCATGAGAACCTGAAACATACTTAAATATAATGACCGTAACTGTTGCCAGCACTGCAGTCGTGATCACCACTATGAAGAAGATCAAGACTTGAGGCGCGGGGTTCAGGGTTTTCGGGATCTGTCTGATCATCATGAACATGCCTTCACAACCACGACCCAAGCACGGAGGGTCCCTGAATTCCATGCCAGGAATCCACCATTTCAACATTGAGGCTTTTCGGAGTAAGGGACGGCTGGTGGTGGTGTAATACTGTAAGGTTTAGGGTTTAGTGGATATCGAAGGGCTGCGTGGGTCTCCCGGGCTTTCCGGGGAGTAGGGCCTCTCATGGCTCAGAGCCGAGACTTCAGCAGTTAAGGTTTAGAGTCTTGGGAGGCAAGCCTTGAGATATGACAACTTCAAGATACCGCTTTCTTTCTGGGGCTTGTCTGTGTGGTCCATAGGAAGGATCCAGCATTTTCTGAAGACTGGGATCCTTCAAGGTTCCCTCAGCCGAAATGTCAGAGAGCCCTCATGAAACCCTACGGGCTCAAAGCCTGTCATAAGAAGGTACCCCTAAAGCTTAAGGAGCTTGCAGGAAGTTTGGAGCGCACGCCTCAGTGGATTCCCAGCGGATGCTCTTGGCGCACAGCTAGGCGTTGCCACATCTGGGAGGCACTCCGGTTCAGCTCAAGCTTCACAGCTTCCTTTGGCCCGTGACTGAGGATGGTGATGACTATTATGTTTGGGGCTAAGGGTTTACAGG